CTTGCTGGGGGCACCTGACACAGTCGCCCCCCCACCCCAGACCCAGAACACCCCCACTCCCCACAGCCCTTCCTGCCCCGGTGGGAAGGAGTCTGGGTCACCCCCACAACCCCTCTGTACCAGGCCCAGCTCACACCCCCCTGCCCATTGACCCACTGGCAGTGCCAGCCCCTGGCCGTGGGGGCAGCGCCCGCTGGGGGGTAATCGGGGCAGGGGGCACGGGGCTGCCCGTTATCTGCTTGGGGCAGGTGCTCGCTGGGGTTGGGCTGTGTCTGAGACGCGGGGGCAAGGGTCCCTTTGTAGTCCCACCACTGTTATGTAATCGGGCCTGGATGCCTGGGTTCCTGCCATGTGTTGGCACGAGGGCCAGGTAGGTTTCCAGCAGGAGCGGGGGGGCTTCACTGCACAGCTGGGGGCAAGGAGGGCTCCTTTGCCTCCTTGTCCAAGGGGGCAATCTGCCTTCTCCCCACCGCTCTGGGCAGGGGGCAGCTGCAAGGGCTATGACATCACAGCAGCAGGTGGATCGCATCACAGGTGAGGGATGACATCAGAGGTGGGGAGCCAAGGATGGGGGGCCTGATGCATTCAGCTCTGGGGAGCCCCAAGTGCCGGGCTGGAGGGACCCTCCAGCCAGTGGGGGAGCATGTGCCCTGTCCGAGGCCCGGTGCCCAGGTGGCACCATGCCCAGGGGTCGATACTGTCTGGGATCCAAGGCCATGCCTGCATGTTGACACCCCCCCCCCAGTCTGTGTTTGCTCAGCAAACACCCTGGGTTAGGGGGGTCAGGCACAGGCAGCAGGGGCCAGGAGCACAGGGGATCCCCGGGCATCATGCCACCGAGAGGCCTGGGAAGGGAGGGGCGGGGGTCTGGAGCTAGCTGCCGCTGCGCTGCACCCCGGAGGTGGCTGCATTTCACTGCCAGGAGGGGAGCGGGCTCTTCACTTCTTGGGTCTCTAATAGCAGGGGGGCAGCACAAGGCAAGGAGCTGGGCTGCAGGACACCTGGGTTCTCACCCGGGGCAAAGCATACCCCCCCTCCACCGTGTGTGCCTCAGTTCCCCCCAAAGCATCCCCTTCCTCTACAGACAGCTGCAAGCAGGGGGGGGCTTCTTGCTGAGCTGGCATTAGCCACGAGTTTGGGGGGCGGGGGGGGGGG